TGATAAATGTTATGCTAATTTCATATTAATTATAAGTAAAACAATTAATACTAAATGTATACCGAAAGGATCAAAATAGTAGTAATAATAATATTATTTTAATTTCATATTAATTATAAGTAAAATAATTAATATTGAATAAGAATTTTAGTAGTAGTAATAGTAATAGTAATAGTAATATTATATTAATTTCATATTAATTATAAGTAAAACAAATAATACTAAATAATACTAAAAGGATTAAATGGTGGTAATAGTAGTAGAGGTAATAGTAGTAGTAGTGGTAGTGGTGGTAGTAGTAGTAGTGACTGGTTGGTTTGTCATTGTTGTTGTAGTTGTAGTTGTAGTTGTAGTAATAGTAGTAGTAGTAGTAGTAGTAGCACTAGTAGAAACGGTTACAACCAAATCAACGAAAATTTTAGCAAACCAACTGACTCACCTACCTCTTTCTCCTCCATTCCTTTCTCATTTACTCTCTTCTTGGGATGAGAGGAATGGGATGGACGAAACTAACTAATCAACCAACCAACCAAACCAACCAACCAACCAACCAACCAACCAACAACTAACCAACCAACAAACAATCAACCAACCAACTAGCTAACCGATCAAACCAATTAACTAGCCCATCAAATATTTAATAATTTCAACTCACAAAGTAACTAACAAAACTGATTGACTAAACCACTAAACTACTGATGAATCGATTAACTTGAATAGAATTACTGATTTACTTATATTAACTACATTATAAATACATTATAAATAACATTATAAACATTATAAATACATTATAAATTATTATGAATAATTTTATAAATAACATTATAAATAACATTATAAATAATAAATTATAATTATAAATACATTACAAATATTATAAATAACATTATAAATAATTACATTATAAATAACATTATAAATATAACAAATATATTATAAATATTATAACAAATTATAAATAACATTATAAATTATAAATAACAAATAAAACTAGCAAACTGATTGACTGAATGATTAAACTACTGATGATCGATTAACTTGAATGAAATTACTGATTTACTTATATACTACATTATAAATAATAAATAATTTTATCAACAAATAATAAAAAATATATAATCATCTAATTTTTATGAATTTCAAATTGTAGAAAAAAATGAAATTGATATTGAATATAATTTAATTATGTGTTTTTAGTTCCTATAATTATTGTTTCATTTCTTTTTTTTAATTAATTAAAGATAAAATAAAATCTTTAAAATTTCACTAAAATGATCATTTCAACTTTTGTAGAAATAAATTGGAAATAAATGAATGGAAAGAAATTAAAATCAAATTCGATTATTCAAATATAATTAAATACATTTCAATTTATGCTTTTTTTTCAAAAAGAAATAAATCAAAATTTTTTCATTCAAAATTCAACAAATTTCCAAATTATCAATATTTTATCCATTTCTGATATACGATTAATCAATTATTATTATTGTTTACTTGATTAGTACTCAATTATTCTAACATATGTGTGAACAAATATATTCTAACTAATTATGATGAATAGAATTACAAATTTTCTACTAAGTTGCATTTGTACCACTTGTTGTATTTTCTTCAGAATTAAAAAACAAAAATGCTTTGATCGTTATATCGGAAAAGGAAGGAAATTAAATTGAAAATTAATTATTGCTAATATAGGAAAGAAATTAATTTTAGAAATAAATTTTTTAACGATAAGGATTATTGTTTTTACCTGTAAAAATAATTCTCATATAGTTTAATTAGAATTTACGTAAATTTACAGTAGATTTTACATTTAAGTTAGATTTACGTTAATTAGATTTTAAGTTAAATTTACGTAAATTTTTACGTCATGAGAATTAAGAATTTCTATTATCTTATAATAATAATATTTATTCATTTGAATGTATAATTAAATTTATGAATAGAGAACATATGTTATAGACAGATATATATATATATATATATAAACATGGAGAATATATTTTATACATTCGTCGGATAATATATTTCCATTACTGGTTACTACTACAACTCCTATTGATAATAATGCATCTTTTTGCAAAATTATCATTCTTTCGGATATTAAAGTGATGACCCGCTTTTTCCCGTTGACCAATAGATTGATTAATGAATGATAAAAGGACAATGAAAGTGGATGCATGTGTGGTAGTAATATTAATTAAATATCTCTTTACATTTTATCCAATTTTGCTTTTCCCTTTATTTATTAATTATTTATTAATACTTTTATTATTTCTGTTGTTTATTATTATTATTATTAATTACTGTTGCTATTACTATTATCATTAATTATTATTATTAACTATTATTATCATTAACTATTACTAATTATCAGTATCACTATTATTATTATTATTAATTTATTATTATTATTTATTATTACTGTCATTATTATTTATTATTAATAAAATTATTAATTATTAATTAATAAAATTCTTGATGCTAAACATCATTTATTATGTATTATGATCTAAACTTCAATTAGTAAACAATTTATTTCACAAACTTGTAAACACTTAAATTAAATAAATTTTAAATCTGAAATAAGCTGCAGACAACATAAAAGATAACATGAAGACAAAAGAATTTAAAAGTTTATAATCGTTCTCCCAAAAATCCATTATTTATCTTCGTACTGCTGCCGTATGGTAGCATAACATATACATAAAGCTCTTACCGATTTACTAATTCTACATATGTATATATCTAACTAGCCACTTAGCCATACTTATTTTACACCACATATCACAACGTTTTCAATTATATCATTTACCATTACACTTGATTGACGAATTATTCCGGATGAGTAATTTTCCGATATCTTTTCACTTCTGACCAGTTTAGTTTGCATTTGCGTAATTTTCAAAAGCATTGTACACTTCTTTTTGTTTCTTTAAAAGTAAAGAAAAGAAAGGAGGGAGAGAGAGAGAGAGAGAAAAAGAATGAAAGAAATTAATTTTTCTTCTTCAAAATTAAATTTGAAAATAATATTTAAAAATGATTATTATAAGTTTATAATTTCAAAGTATTATGTGGAAGAAAAAAACAATCAAACAAAATAAGGAACAATAATTAACATTTCAAAAATCTCTACAAATTTAGATATGTTAATTAATAACAGCTAAATTATGGTATAGTAAACAAAAAGTCAAAGAGAAAAAAGAATAAAGTAAACAACATAATAAACATAATAAACAAAATTTCATCACGTTGAGAAAAATTGACAGAGAAAAGAGCTAAATTATCATAAACAATATAAACTAGACAATATATTTATAGTAAATCATTTTGAGAAAAATTGACAGAGAAAATTAGCTAAATTATAGTAAACAACATAAAATAGAACAGAGAAAATAGCTTAATTATAGTAAACAATATAAAGTAGGCAATATATTTATGGTAAACAATAATTGTTGTTGTAAATGATTAGAAGAGAGATAAAGAAAACAAGCAAATCTTCCAATTAAAAAAAGAAACAAGAAAATGAAATAAAATATTGGTAATATTTGTTTATATCATTTATATTACGCTTGTTATTTACTCAATCCTAATCATAAATCTTGTTCAAAATGTTAACCATAATATAATATTTAAACTTTTAATGATATTCAAAGAACAAAGATTTTCCCGTATATTTATAATAAAGAGAATTAATTGGAGAATTTATCATTTCAGTTCGAAAAATTAGCAACCAGTTATCAGACTGATAATTTCAAATTAGAATCAAATATCTCATTAAGCTTAATTACATTTATAAAATACATACCTTAATAATAAAAGTTATAAACCTATCAGAATTAAAAGAAACATATCATCTATGTAAAGAAAAGATATACCGTTGCCGTTTCCTTCCAGCTCCTTTTTTTTAACATCCACAAAGTTGTTGTAATATTCGTGAATTCGCCTTATTTTGCAATTCAATTTCATTGATATCAAATGACCTTATTATCTATTGGCGAATGTAGATTTATCAACTGATAACATTTATCGTTACATTTGTAATTTATTTTATATCAACATGAAAAATATGCATAAAAAATTTTTTTAGCAAATTATCAGAATATCAAAATGCTTTTAAGCTAATCCTTAATCAATTCAACTGATAGATAAATGAAGGGCGGTTATAATTCGAAAATTGTTGTTGATCACTACCAACAGAGATATAATAATGCTTTTCGTGTTTAATCAATAGTAATGACTTGTGAAAAGGATACGTGTTTTAACAGGGAATCAAATCTGCTACTGCTAATAATTCTGCTATTAATGCTACAAAATCAAACAGGTGATATCTCAATGAATAGATATGATAGGAAAACTTTAATACATCATCACCTATCAGTGATAGGTAGTATATTTTAACATATTTTCCTTTAAACAAAAATACTAATTAAAAATGAAAAAAAAAACGACCCGTGTCCTTCTTCTATAAATGCAGCGATTTAGATTCCAATTTTTCTTATATAGTTTTCTTAAATTCATACCATTATTTTATCATTTGAAAATTTTGCAAAGAAAAATCACATGTAATAACATGTAGTAAAGATTAATTCTTCTGCAAAAAATTCTAATCAATTCGTGTAGACTCTCCAAGTTATATCCCTCCTTTTCATTTTACTAAAAAATCAAGGACTCAAGAGAAAAAAAATTTCGAAAAATTTGAATGATATTATCACTTTTTGTGCTTAATCAAATTAATAATGATTTTTCTTTCAGGAAAATTTTTAGTTTTCAGAAAAACTAAAAATTAAAAATCCTGAAAGAAAAGAGAACGAAACTTTTCTTTAGCGTTATTCATAGGTAATTCTTTCAGGACAAATTCGACGATAATGATACTTCTTATATACAAATAGATGAAGGGAAAAATTCATCTCATCCACAAACAAAGAAATCAGAGAGTGCGGATTTTGCCAAATAGTCTAATTGTTTACTATACTATAATGAATCAATTAACAATATCAGCTTTCTTTCTGAGCGCTTTTCAAAGTTAATAAATCGTACAGTCCCATTGAAGAGAACAGCTCTACATCTACATTTGACTTTGCCCCTGAATTTTTATTAGCATTCTCTCGGCTATGATTACAACTACTACTCAGCACCGTTCCTTGCATTTGATCGCTACTCCTTGAACTTATCTTTCCAGACAACTGTGATTCCTGGATCAGTAACTGCTCTGCTGACATTTCATCTAGTAAATTCTCTTTCTTGGTTCGATTTAAGTGAAGCCCTTCATTAGCTAGATGACCATACAATAACGGAATATACTGCATCTTTCCAGCAGACCAAACCTATAAAAATATTTGAGAGGATACAAAAGACAATAATATCGATTACATGCTAAATGAAACATATTTTAGTTTGAATGTGCCGTGATAAGGATGGAGCTTTTAATAAAGAAGTCAGTAAAATTCAATAAGAGTTAATCAAAGCAATAGGAATGATTGAAATACTACTCCTTAAAACACATAATATTAAGCAATTATGCTATCATTTTGCATGAATTTTTCCGTTTAGAAAAAAAAACAAATCTAATTATAACTGAAATATAAATTACGATTTCTGATCGATTTTACTAGCACGATCAGCAATCGGCCCTGTGGCCTAATGGATAAGGCGTCGCTCTCCTAAAGCGAAGACTGCAGGTTCGAGTCCTGCCAGGGTCGTTATTCTTGGAATTTGAGAGGGACGGACTCCGCGATTTGCGGGAAGGACTCTTTTGCCTTACTTGACATCGGTTGGGACATTTCATTGTGAATGCTAATTGTTCAGAATTATCTTCAGACATCTCATATTTCGTCCAATTTTTTCGTAGCAGTTATCATAATTTCAAACTTACAACAATTAGCAATGAGCCATATTGGAATTTTGGGAAAAATGATAAAATGGTTGCTGATCCGAAATTTGCTGTGCCATTTATCAATCCACATGGAGCAAAAAAGAATGATGGCATCGTTTCAACTACAAATAGAGCAACAATCGTCGGATTTCCTATAATTTTTCTTCATTAGCTTACATCAGCGACTTAAGGAAATACTGAATTTTTGATATCTCATTGTATTCGTTGTTCCTAGTGAAAGAAGTTTCTCCCGAAATTAAATAGTTAATAAGTCAACACTGCTATATGAAAACTTTCACAGTGCAATACAACACTATTATTAGAAATGTAATCCGGTACAGTCATGTGAAGCTTAAAATTCATATCACCGCAACTTTTGAAGTGTTATTACAGGGCAATAGCCACATCAACAGTGGATCTTCCCATGTTAAAGTAGTATTAATGACTTTAATGTTAAAGTTACTTTACCAATGAAAGTAACAGCGATACGCTGTCCATCAGGAGAAATCCTCATATCACGAATAAATCCATTAGCCTTGCATGTTCTACTATCACTACTGCTACTATCACCTCTGCCATTATGTACATGTTTTAGTATCATTTCCGAAAGATCATATACAGGAACAGCAATCTCGGATCCATATGATAACCTGCAATAGAACAGATATGACTGAGAGAGATAAATTTTGATTGATGCAACTAGGAGGTAAGCAAAGTTAACAGCTGAAGTTTATGCCATTCTCTAATAATCATTTTAGAATTAACAATCGATAGCATTTAGTAATGCCTGGAAAATAATTTGCCACTTTACTTTACACTTTACCATATTATATAAACAATTCAATAGGTTTTTATGAGCCCAAAGAAATAGATGAGAAAATCAACAAAAAAGCAAAGGAAATGAACTGGAGCTAATAAATATGAAATTAAGCAAAAATTAGTTAAATTGAAAAATTCAAATTGCAACAGCTGCTGAAGATAGCTTCATAAAAACTTGAA